CACAGATGCTTGAACTTGGATGCATGGGAGCTTAGGGGGGAGAGGGAAGGCACTGAGCAAAAGTTTCAATGAAATAGGAGGAAGGACTCCGGGGTCTTGACCCCATGTATGCACATGCAGAAAACTCACATTGTATCCCAAGCATCTTTGTCACTACACATTTGTTAAGACCACATGAAACACTAAAATTAACTCGACATGTGCTGAGTGTCCTCGGGCTTTCTTTTTCCCATTTTCTTCACTGGTGACAGGACAATGTGGCACTGGTCCCCAGAAGTAGAATACATACTGTTGAAGACAGGGGAGGTGGAGTGTGTAGGAAGCGCCTCCAAACTATCTGTCAAGGGGGATGATATGATTACAGACTGGTGGTATTTAAATGTAGCTTGCTAAATCTTGCGTCTCCTCCAGGGCTCTGGAGACGGTTGGCATAGGTGTGTCCTGAGATGGACTTTAAAGTTGCTTCTGCCTCCTGTCCTCGTATCTGTTTTTTATGCTCTTCAAAATGCCATTAGTTCACTGAAATTATTTCAGTTCAATTAGCAATGTTAATTCTCTGCCTGTGCAAGTCAAAGACCACTGAGAATAAGCTGAGTTTTATTTATTATCTGACAATACTCAAGGTTACTCTAAACTGATTTTGGTGTGTCTCCTTTTCACCTAATCATATTGGACTTCTCCTCTCTGCTTAACCATCTGAGCTCAAGACCTCATCTGTGATATATGAATACAAGAAGTCAAATCCATGCACAATTGAAAATTAGCTTCAGTAGATTGCCGAAGGCTCCGTGGAATTGTGCAGGAAGGAGGGATCTCGGGTATGCCTGAGCTAACACTAGTTCCCAGTGCAAACCCAAAGGCCTGCTCTTCTCCCCCTACTCAATTCATTTGCTTACACCAGTGTTACTGATGGACTATCAATAGAATCACATCAGGCAGGTCTAGGCAGGTTCGAATCAATAGGGCCTTTCATTGTCACTGTGTCATAATTTAATTGTTCCTTTCTATTACACTTAGCAACTAGACACCAGGAAAGACTGGACCCAAGAATAAACTTCCAAAGACAGAGAATGCCCACTCCAAAAAGCTCTACTGGAAAGAGCAGAGCTGGTTAGGACCTCTATCTATATTGGCGTGTGGGAGTGTTTATATCACGAGACAGCTCTTTTTTTCTGTACTAGATCAGAGACTTGTAAAGATGTCAGATGCACAACATCTTGGTGTCTTTGAAGGGAAGTGACACACTGCCAAAAACCATATGAAGTAGAAATAAGATCTACAGAATCAGAAAATGATGTTGTGATTCTAGATTTTAATACTGAACACCAATTCTAGATTTTAGTGTCGAGTCCCATCCTAGATATGAATAATGAGCAATCTAGAGGTAAATATTGAACAATTCAGTATATGCATCCTCTATGGTCACTATTCATTTCTAGATTATTTAAAAAATGGGCTGTGGTGGTATGTGTGTATGGGGTGAGCTGTGCGTGAATGAGACAGAGTCTCTTATTAAATCTGAAGATAATCAATTTGGTTAGGCTGAATGACAAATGAGATTCGGGAATCTGCCCATCACCCATCCAGCAAGAAGTGGAGTTACAGACATGAACCATTCTTCTTGGCTGTTTACATGGGTTTGGGGGATCCAGATTCTTACACTCGCACCGTGGATCCAACTGAGCTTTCTCCTCAGGCTCATGGCACTTAAAATCACAAATCTTTTTAAAATCAGTCCTTCCTCTCTGAAGGCCTTTGTATGGGTTTGGCCTCCCATCTACTTGTGAGTACAATGGAAGACAAATGGCCTCCCCGCACCAGCCTTAACAAGGACTGATCCTGGGCCACGCCTCCAAGGAGAGGTGTGTCAAACAGCAGTTAGAAGAGAGGTCTTTAAAACCCTCTGAACACTTTTAATACATTACCACCTCTGGGAACTAGCTACTTCCCTTCCCACTTCAGAAAACATGTAATGGGGCTTTGTGTTTCAATTTAAAGTCCCTTAAAAAACGGAAATCCTTTCCTTTATAAGGAAAAAAAAAGCACAGAGGGAAGGAAAGACAAGGCAAGAGAGGAACGAATTAGGCAGTCTCCTAAGTACTACTGGCTCAACTGGAAACCGGCGACCAAAGCAAGCCTGTAATAGTGTAATGACCTTTAATGAGTGTCTTGGGAAACAATACAGCCCCAGTATAAAAGACAAAGGGCAAAATCCATCATGGTTCTGTTGACACTAATTCAAAATGATCTTCAGAACAACTAAAGAATGTAAGAGAAGTAATCTGACCTGCTCATCTGACCTCACTTTGATTCCAGGGCCCTTCTCCTGCCATTTCTAATCGTCAAACCCTCTCCGTTTCACGTCTGCTCATATTTAATGAAAAGCCCACTCTCACCACTGCTCTTAGAGTCAATTCACTCTGTCAAGGGGGCACTACCCAACCCACCACCCGCGTGGGGTGCCCGGATAGCTGTGGCACACTGCCAGGGGTTCAGCAGAGACGGAAGGGTTTTTTATTTTATTTGCTTTGTGTTTTTGTTCTCCTTTTTTTAATTGGAGGAGAACGGCTGACATGGGCCTATAAAAGAGTTCAACTTGGAATGGATTTTTCTAGTTTATTATTAGTGGTCAAAGGTGAGTGGTCTCACACAGGGATGGATGAAATCCTCCTTTGTGTGATGAAGTGAGGATGACGAAACAGAGCCGGCAAGCCACCCCCAGAGCTGTCAATACCACTCAAGTCCTGAAGCCTGCTGTCCTTCACAGTGGGGGCTGGCGATGGAGGGGCAGAAGGATGACAGTATTATGAACAGGGTAGTTCTCAGAGGATGGGGCATTCTTACCCCAAGATTTTCTTCCCTCGGCCTCCACTGATGCCAGGATTGAATTGCAGAGCTGAGAAATCCCTTCAATTATGGTTTTTCTCAAATAAAATGGAAATTGCACACAATGGACACCATGAGCCTCACATGGGGACATAGTTTTTACTGTGATTGGAGCAGAGGGCCAGTGCGCCAAGACATGACCACAGGACCCTAGCCCATAGCCAAACTGGCTCTTCAGGTTTTTTTCCACCAAATCTGTGGCCAAGGTTTTGGAGTGTGGTGGTTTTGAGAAAAGAAGAAATTGTGCCTTAGGTTGAAGAGGGTTGGCAATCACATCTACCCCTGCCAATCAAAGGGATCTGGCCAGTGGTGCCCCCATGGCTTACTCCATTGTCTTCCTAACCAGCTTCTCTTTAAATATGGTGCCCTGCTACACATCACAAACAAATTCTTTATGCAGTTGTGATCTGGGTTACTTAGGCTACATGCATATGAATGAGAAAAAATTCTTGCAGGCAAAAATAAAGGCATATGGACTTGTACTGATCATCCACACGAACAAAATAAAAAAACAAAGCAAAAAAAAATCAGGTCAAAGTGCTTGGTACTGTCCATAATGCCTCTCAATAAAACCCCATTAAGTATCACTTTTAAATCAGTCTGTCCTTCAACCCTCCTGGCTCACTGGTCTCAAATCAGGCTTCTGAATGCCTTCAATACATAGCTCAACACATGGCTTACAAACTTCAAATGTGAATCACAGCTTTGAACATCAGCACCTGGCATGACTTAGCCCTCTCTCTATACAGTAGAGTTGTGGCTTTCTCTCACTAGATATTCACAAGTGTACTGTGTAGGGACTATCTTCAACACAGACAATGATGATTCATTCATGTGTATTTACCATGGGATCAAATGTTCGAAAACTAAATGTTTCCCTTCTTCCTTGTGGTGGGTGTGAACGTCCACAAGGAAAAGAAAAGGTGAACCGATTTTGCTTATTTAGGAGAAGAGACAGTGGGTAAGATGTCAACGCAACACCAAGAGTGTGTTGGCTTCTGTAAGGAGAGATGGGTCAAGCACAGGGAGAACCACTGCCTCCCACTTCCTCTACTACCAAAGGAAGAACTCAAAGTCATGGTCGTATCTCAAGAGCATCCAAGTCCTCGTGCAGAACCCAAGTTCTTCTGACGGTGGACAAGGAGGAACACCCATAGCATTTCAAACCAGCACATTCTGCACCAATGAAGACACAGATAAGGGTGACTCGGGAATTCGGTTCATCAGACTCAGTAGCTGGCAGCAGCTTGATGGTTACAGCTTCTTTCAAGGGGACAAGCATGGCAGTGACATCGATCTGAGATATAAAGCGAAGAAAATCCCGCAGATTCAGAAGTTAAATATTTCTTATTTAGATTCATGATTGCTACACAATACCTTGGTTGAGTGGGACTAAACTGTTGGGAAAATCTAAGATGTTAATGAGTGTCTCCGGAGCCTCCTTCAAATAAGTCAACTGGTTGAAAGGCAGCACTAGAAACTGCCAGTATATGGAGGCGGGCAGATTCAAAAATAAATATTCTCTTCAAGAAGTGAGGATAGCATCAGGTATGGAGGAATGAGACTCTGGTAACAAGCAAACAGGACAAAATTGTGTGTATATGCATATATATTTACATATATACATGAACATATATTATGAGCAAATATCTGCTTCTAGATGCTGTTGTAGCTTCTGTATTTTGAAATGCTAGAAAGTTTTTTCTCCCTATTTCTTCTCCTCCGTCCTTTTGATCTATTCCCACTTAATAGTCACCTCTAAAATCTGAAGACCCACATTTTCACAAATCCTCTATTAAAATAGTGATCGCTACCCTGTTACTTTCCTTCTCCTTTTCACTTATTTAGACAAGAGAGAGGAAGGCTAGCAGCAGGCTGTCAAATGCCAGTCTTGTTCACGATCACAAGAAGCACAGAAAAGGTCGTAAAGGAAAGCCCTTCCATCACATACGCAGAGATATCATATCACAGGCAACATATCATCACACACAAGACCACATTAAGAAGGCAACAGAAACTCAGTGGACTCACAGGACCACAAAGCACAACACAAGACAGGGCTGATGTCACAGACAAGCACAGACAGGGAACCGTGGTGTTGAGGTTAAACTTACAGGCACGGAAACTGGCGGAGCAATCATTAACAGAGACAGAAGAAAGCGGGAAGGCTCTCTCAAGGGTGTCCACGTTACCACGCACACGGCCTGACATGCATGAGCAGCCACGCTCAGAACGTCCGCAATCAAAACAACATGCTCGTCTCATTCTCTTGTAGATGGACATCTTGGCTATAACCATGTGGTTGGATGGGAGGAGAGGAAGAGCGGCAGTTAATGGCAAGGTCACATACAGCAAGGCAGCTGGAAGGGCACTGGAGAATTGAACACAGGTCTTAGTTCACGTTAACAGTCTTGACCCAGAAAAAAATGCAGTGATTTTTGGTGACAGTTTGGTTGTACATAAAAAAAAAAACAGTGAAAATATAAATTGCCTTTATTGTCCCCCAAGGTTGTTGCATATTATTTTTGTTCCCTTGATGGAGCGGTGACCACAGGAAGAAGGCATGGCTGAACACATCCCAGTTCTTGGATGAAAAGAAAAAAGCAAATTATAGACAGCAAAAATGAACCACCATTCTCCCCCTGGCACAATTAATGCAGGAGAGTAAAAGAGACGCACAGCCAATCGGTTAAATGAATTGCTTATTTGGTACAATAAATGGTTTTTGCAGGATGCAAATATATCTAATATATAGGCTTTCTCATTTTCATCCATTTCTGGGCATTAAGCAGAACCTGGGACAAGCTTCCATCAAATTAAATGTGAAACGATTACATGCTAATATCAGACCTGAGGACGCTTTTGCTGAACTTCCCAGGAGTGAGTTTACATGATAGCTACAGGAATTTAAATTTACTCTTGACAGAACAAATATCCAAATCTGTCCATATAAGAAATGCCGCTACTCAAGGCTAACGCTGCATATTTAACATTAAAGGAAGTTCACAAATAAAAACAATCACCCAGAGCAATATGAAATGTTAGTCTCTGGAAGGCTTTTAGCTACTCATGGGTGTATTTATTGTGAGCGCTGCCTCTCTCTTCCTGCCCACCAGAAAATCAGAAGGCAATTAGGTGACTTAATCATATTTTTCCTTACTTGGAAAATATTGGCCAAAATATATTAAAATAACCTGAAATATTTGCCTTACGAGCTATCTTCCTGGCATTTTCAGGGACCCTCAATGGTTCTTCTAAGGCTAGCGTAGTGTGAAGGTTTGGTGCTCATCCAGTACCTGTAATACAGTCACGCAAAGCTTGTTAAAGTCCCTGTCATTTCCAATGCCTTTCCTTTTTACCCTTCTGGCCAATTTATACTACAGCACAAGAGAAGACTTCTGTATCGCATTTTGCTGCTACAATAGGCAAACATGGTTGTTGGTCACTTAGCATGCTCTTCTCACAGGGTAGAAGAACTCATCTTCCAATCAGCAAACATGGAACTTGGTCTGGGCAGGTGTTATCTCCACACCCATCCCTTCCATGTGGGAAGTCGCATTATCCCTCTGTATTTTCCTTTGTAGAGGATGGTTGCCCTTCTACTTTAAAATATAGCTTGTGGCTTTGCTTTCTTTGAATGTTACCGTCACCAGGAACGGGTTTTTAAAATCTCTGAAGTGGGTCAAGCCCTGTTCTAAGACCTTCATGACTTGCCATAGAGTTGGCTTGTCAAGCGAGGGGAACGTTATGACTGTGAAGGGCAGGCACTGGGGAAGATGAACGCGAGACCTCCAGCAGCATCCCCACTCTTGTGAGTAGGCTCACATCCCCAGTGCATGGTCCTTTAGCATCCTAACTAAGCCCATTGTTTGGATTAACATGCAACCCCAGCCCTGTTCAACTCTCAGTATATCATTCTCTCAAGTTCTGCTTTTAACAAAAAATAAAAATAAGAATCTGCTATAGCATTTGAGTCAGAGGAAGTCATAAGGCGTGCTGCCAATGTCCAGGCCACCCTGATCAACAGCAGTGGCTGAGTCAAGAAAGGGAAAAGAGAGTCTTCAATGGAAGACATGAAAATAAACTTAGTCGAACTGTATCCAGATCTGGTATACCACCTGGAAAATCAGTCTCTTGGTTTCTCTATCCCAATGCTTTAAGTGGACATATTGACTTGTTACTTGCGAAGAAGAGAATGATGAAGATAGTTTCTTTTCTGCTTTTGTTTGTTTCACTATAGTTTCAAATTATTTTAAAACTTGTTTTTTCTTTTTTTTCTTTTAAATCAAATACTGTAGCAGAGAATCCCATCAAACTCAGAAATGCTATGTTTCTCATTAGCAACAGTCCCTGGTTTTCATTTTCATACTGCCATTTCGGGTTCATGCATGGTAATAGAATGTGACACATTTATAGGGAAAGAAAGTTCATATATATATATATATATATATATATATATATAAATGAAAGAAGAGGAGAATAGGTAACTTTTAAATCATTTTTTTCCCACAGAGGTCACCCTATCACAATGGGCAGTGGAGACCTCCCACATCAGAAGGCTCCAGGAGAGAGAATAACATCAAACCAGTGACTTTCAGGGACCGTTTGCAACTGTCACAGTTGGCTGTCCTGGAGACCATGCATTGCTGTAAAATTTCGTATTGTTAGCATGCAGTAACAGGCTGCAACTGGTAACCGAAGCCGCAGAAACCCGTTTGCTATAGGAAGATTAACTGTTAATTATAAGCAGTCACATTCCAGAGCGGCATATGCAGAAAACAGAAAACATGCTAGTACTCGCCACTCCTTCCGGGCAGTTTACGCTCACACCAAATGCAAAAGAGAAATTTCAAAAGACAAAGACCACACACACACACACACACACACACACACACACACACCAAGAGTAATCAACATGAGGCTCGGGGACAAGACACAAACAGTTAAAAATGATTGAGCCCCACATCCTGACGAACCTTCCGCGCCACGATGTCTAGGATGAAGATGACCAGGTCAGAGTGTGTCTCCTTGTCTACCACCCCAGTCAGGTGTGTTGTCACCTATGTACTTCTAGGTCCATTGTCTAAGAAGAGAAGGGTGATTCTGACCTTCCATCTGATGGAGTGACCCGTCAGGCATGAGGGATGTATGCATAGTTTTGAGATTTCTTCCACTTTTATTCATGGTCAAGATCAGCAATGAAGATTTGCCTCCCATGTGGTAGGTGTTCTAGAAAATGTGGGCATTCTATCCTTGGGTTCTAAAATAAAGTCACGTAGGTACTATATTACAGACTTTCTAACTTGGGCATTACTTCTCCATCACCTTCCTCAACTCTATGGCTTCCTAACCCTTCATTATGGTTTCAATAAATTCTAGATTCTCAGAACCTTCTTGGTAACTGTTTTCTTTTCTATAGTCAATTTGGGTTAGAGGATTCATATTATCAGAGAGAGACTTAACCCCCACAAGGTTGAGTTTCACAGACCTACATGGAACATGTCAGTATCTATTTAAAGCCAAAGTTTCTCATCTATTCCTAGGCATAAAAACATGTCTCCTCTCCATTGGTGTGTGCTGAGTTCCTTTCTTAGTAGCCATCCAGGGCTCTTCCCCATCACCAGAGAAAAGATTTTAAGCAGAATGTGAAGGCAAAGCAAAGAAGGTCTACGAGGACATCTAGTGGTAGCTGGCTGTAGGACAGCAGCTTGCCTGAAGCAGAACCTGCTCTTCTCAGAGGAGGGCCTTGCAGTCTCTAAGAACTGAAACCTATGTGAAGCCATATTCAAGGGCAGCCTCCCATCTATGATGTTCAGAGGCAGTGAGGACAGATATATGAAACCTCCTAGGAGCAGTCAATAGGGGTAACTTGCAAGCATGCTGGTTTTATACTGCACTGGCAGATAGGGTCTCCTCACAGCTTTGCTGCAGCTTCCCAAGAGGGACTAGACAAGAGTATGTCTCTGCAGGTACTTGTCACTTTGTCTTAGGGCTCTTGGAACAACTTTATGTTCTGCGAATTGTTCCCATAGGCCAACTTAATTCTGGGAAAGAAGAAATATAAGCCCCTTGGGACTTTGTTTTCTCTTTGGCCCACAAAATGTTCTTGTTCTTGGACCAGTATCAGTGATTCAAAGAGGTCATGTCAGTGCCAAGAATCTGATTTGGGTTCTCACCTTCCTCTAAAACAAAACAAAAATCTATGTTTGAACAGCTTCATCACTTCAGAAGAAAGCTTTTATGTGCTTTTCTTCACCACAATAAAATGGATATTCATCCACTATTTCCATTATGACTTCCTAGTAGTATTTATAGAGACAAAATAGAAGTACTTCCCTAATGGACATCATCAAAGCTCTCTGTTTACTTTTTAGTGTTTAAAATGGAAAGCTTTCTCAGACACACTCTTGCACAACTTTCCTTCTACTTTCAAAGGTTGTGATGGTGAGAAATTAAACCTGCTGCAGATGTAGCCCGCTCATTTCTCTTTCCTTGGGACACACTTAATATGATCAGGTGCCAGGCCTCAGGTCCTCTGCTGGCTGGCCTTCCTGAGCCAAGTATGGAATGGAAGGAAGGGTTTCAGCCTATTCTGTCTGCGGTACCATCTGCCTCCGGCATCAGCAACCAAATGGCCAGCCAGGTTGCAATTGTAGAATCTTAATTGCGGGGGTGGATTGGAAGGGAAAGGAAAAGCAGCCTTGCCCAAGAGACCCAGGTGGAGGTTTCCAGCTGCTGGAAGGAAAACAATTTAGGTTTCCAAAGGAGCAAATATAAGAGGGTACTAGTACAAAAGAAAAAAAATGCCATTAACTTAAGGTACACTTCTCAGATCACAGCCTCACTTTTCAAATCAGCCCATGGAAGGGAAGCATTATTTCTTAGCGTGACTTTACAGCTATTCTTCTAGGGCTTAGTAGTAACCAAAATTATAAGCAAACCCTCCAAAGAAGAAAAGCCCACAAAGGTTTTTGTTTGAGGTACATCGTTAGATGTAATGCTAGGAAGCAGAGGTTCTTTCATATCCTATAAATAAGAAATGATGTCTTCACTTAACACAATTCTTCCCATTACCTTCTGAAGAAGAAGAAGGTCTTACACAAGGCTTTCTGTGATCGGGAAGGAGGGAAGGGCAAAGATTAAAGTCAGCAATCTGAAGCACACACCCAGCTAGTTGATCTGGCTCACACCAACCACTCTGGAGTTGGGAAAGGTGGGAGACTTTGCCAATGGAGTGTTTGTTGACTGGCATTTTGTGGCCCTCTAGTTCTCAAAGACTGCTCGAGTATGAAAATCTGAGGGTGCAGAAGTAGCGTGTCCACATACATTCCACAGAGCCAAAGTGGGCTGAACTGTGTGTTGCACCGAAGCTCAGTATTTTGCTTTGGCACTACACAGAACATCAGAGACTTTCCACACAGGAAGACTACCAGAACTCAAACGGTCAACTTGCTTCTTCTTGCTCTTCTGTAAAGGAACATGAGAGGTCCAAAGCTGAAACATGTCCACATTCCAGAGCCAATGAACACAATGAGTTGCAGACTGGGTCTCCTTTCTCTTTTCATCGAGTCTTATGTCTGTAAGTCAAGACCCAGTGCTGATAACTAGTGCCCGTGATAGCTAGCACGACAGCTGTAGGTCACACACAGAAACACTGGCCTTAAAAATTCCATCTGGTTGGATAAATGGGATCCTATGCCTTGAGTAAGTTAGAGAGGTCTAGAGACTTGTATTGACTTGTTTAGATTCCTACATGGCTCATTCATGAAAAGGAGCATTGTCCCTTAGTTAACCAATGTTTTCCCTCCAAAATAAGCACACTGATCCTCCAGATGCCTGACATTCACAGAGGAACTAGGGAAGAACTAGTGGGTGCCAACCAAAGGAGACGTTGTACTTAAAAGCAAGGAAACTTCATAGACTGTAGGAAATAATGACCACTTGTCTCCAGAAAGGCAGATACTTACAGTCCCAAAGGAGTACTCAATTAAATATCCAGCAAGTATCATCTTGGACAGAGAGGCACATATAATATAATCAATGCATTCCTCTCTCTATGGAATCTCCCTACGATTATATATAAAAATATACATTTTTACATATAAACTACTGGTGCATATCATATATATCACAACTCAGGAATATATATGTAGCCTATGCTTTTCCTTCAGGAGGGGAATTCAAGCTCCATAGCAGGGGAAAACAAGTATAGTTTATCAAAGGCAAGCATGACCATGATCCCCGATGGACAAAGCATCTAAAGAGAGAATGGTAATTACTCCAGCCTAATCCGTGTCCCTTAAAAGTCCTGAGGCAAGGCCTTCAAGAGAAACACACTGTTGTCAAGGTCTTATTTTCGAATGGAAAAATAAGACCATGTCCAGAGCTTGCTGGAGGCTGGGGAATGAGCGGATGCACGGAGAGTGGGCTCTGGGCACTCTCCAGCTCCTGGCTACTCTACAAGGACTGTGTTAAGGCATGAGCGAGTTGGGGCATGATGTAACTGCTACATGCAACACGAATACCAAAAATAAAACGAAACTGAAATTGTACAGAAAAAAAGTATCTCATCTAGAGAAAGAGCAGGAAAACTGTACTCTGGGCTGCGGGGAACGCACTTTACTCACAATAGATCACTACCAGGGTGCGGTTAAGATAGAGTGGGGGTCGTATTCCAAGGCAGCAAAGAGGAAACAAAATAAATCAAAGACATGTCAATGATTAGAAATTAAAGAAAATTCCTTCACACACATCAATCTAAACATGACTTGTCCCTTAGGAGAGTACCCTTGGCAACTTTTGAGAGGCTGGGAGGGAAGTGTAAATCATTAGACCAGGTTTGCGGCACAGAAAAAGAAAATGAGTCAATGGCAGAGTCTCAGAGCTTTCTCCTTGGCTAGACGTCTGAATTGGACTCGCTTCCTGGATGGATGGAGAGCTATGAGGAAATGGAAAGAAACGCACAAGTTAAACTATACTACCGCAATGGGATCCCCACAGATGGAATTGCCATGTGCCGGACTTCTCCCAGAGAGGACACGAAACATTGGAGGTCACTGAATGAAGAGGAATGAAAAGGGTAAGGGAGAGACTGGGAAGGAGAAACTGGGTAGGGACAGGAGGGGTAGGAAATATACACAAATTCTGGGGACTGTTATTAGCTTTGTGCTCACACAGTTATATCATTTTATGGTGTATTATTAATTGCTGCACTGACAGGTTTGGATAAATAACAGGGTGGAACAACTGTCCTTTCCAATTTTGCTGTTTTTGCTATTTCCATATGCAACTGACAATGCTAACTATTTCTCAGGAAGGTTTCTTCACAGCCAAATATATCTTCTCCAATTCCTGACCTTCATGAGAAGGTTTATATTCAATTATTCATTTTATTCTAATCCTCCCATACATATCTGCATCCTGCCCTCCAGGCTATGGCCTTTTAACTGGAAATAACAACATTTGGACAATTCTGGTTATTATCAAATATTAACCACTCATTCCATAACCTTGTCACTCTTAAGAGCAGTCTTAGAGGAGGCCATCCTTTTGCAGCAATGATGTTGTGCATGATGGGAGATTACACACTTCACTAGCTTAATTTATGGAATGGAAATGAGGGAATGAAGTGATTGTGAATAACTGTGCTTTTCACAATAGGATGGAGCTAAAAGTTCACTACTGTTTGCTTGCCTGGAGCAGAGATAGAGAAAAACACCTTGGAAGTCAAATCCTTATTTGTAAGAACTTTAAAAGGGGCGTTCCAGAATAATGTACTATGGGGTCCTATGAGAGACACTCTAATTTCACAGAGAGTGAATCAGACAAGTTCTTTCCTCATCTTGCCTTTTCCATTCTGTCTTCCAGAGTGAATCCCCCATTCAGATGCAAAGCAAATCTTCTCAGCTGAGACCTGATGATGTCATCTCCTTTCCTGAAAGCACCTGGTAGCTTTCAGGCACAGGACTAAAATCTAGCTTCTCAGCACCATCTCTGCCTTCTTGTATGATTTCACTTTGTACCTCTCTCTCCAGATGCCACAGACCGCAAAGGCCCTCCACCCGTCCTCTAAACACTGCAAATGGCTTCCTGCTTTTGAGTCTAGCCCCTTGCTCCTCTCCCCACCCTGTTTCACCTCCACCCTCACCTCCCAAAGAACCAGTCAAACTATGAACTAGTAGCCTTCCTATAAGAGTCCTGACACCCTCAGATGGTCTTCTCTCTTGTCTTAGCATGTGGGTCTCTATGACTTTATATATTTCTCAACATGACATGGGCTTGTCTTTTTGCCTGACAGAAGGTTTGGAAGGGATCTCATTCACCATTCCATCATAGGCATTACTAAGACACCATTCATGAAGACGTTACACAAAAGCACATGAATGGATGCTCACCTAGTACGTCAGAGCCTTGCCACTTTACTAAGGCTCCCGAGGGATGGGTTTGCTTATAGAAACACCCTTGCATGGACTATTGGCCTCAACATTCTCCCACTCATTTTGCCCCCATTGCTGCTATGAGAGTTTCCTTACAGAGTTCACCCTCTTTCTCTGGTGCTTCTCTTGCCTGCATTTAGCCTTAGGATGGCCTGTTCCTTCTGATGGACATGTTTCTGAGGATGCCTGCTGCACAGCTAAGTTCCCAAGCACCTGGTGAGAAGCAGGAGTGAGTCCTGGAGCCTGGGGGCTGACTTGGTGGTGACCTTTCTTCTTCATCTCCAACACACTCAGATGCTCTTCCTTGAAAGTTGAGAGAATCAGGAAATCCTTCTGGGTATAGGCATAGTGACAAGAGTTTGGGAATGCAAACCATGGATGCTAAAAAGCTGGTCTAAACTGATATGTGGAAATAAGTCCGAGAAGACCTCTACAGAAATGTCTCTAGACCAAGTACTGCCCATTGGTGCTTCCCAGAAGACCAGCTTATTAGTACTCAGGCGGTATTATCTTAAGTCTTACTGTTTAACATGTCTTCTTCAAGCAACACAGTGGCAAGACCCTTGGGTTACCACCCAAGGAATGGTGGCCTTTTCACTAGCCTCTTGTAAAATGGTTATTTTATGAGGGGGATTTTTTATAACTCTCTTTCAATTCATTTAGCCCAAGGATATCCTTCCTCCTGTAAGAAAGATCAGGGCCCTGAAACCACAGGATTTAGACAAGCCTCAGGGGACTTGAATCTATGAACGTTGGCTGTATGATTATCAGCAATTCCATTGTCTCACTAAATAATGAAGGGTCATTGTTGCTTTAACTGGATTAAATAAAGCCCAGCTAGTTATACAGGGTCATAGTGAGGATCAAAGCAAACATCACACGGAGCTCTTCGAACCGTCGAAGGGAAGGCAGCATTGCATTGATTTTTTTTTTCTAGGGTTCAGAACAATCTCTACTGGGCTGTGCAATCTAATTGCTGCAAAAGGTTGGACCTCCCCTAAGCAAGGACTGCTTTACAGCATGACATCAGTGGAGCTCATAAGCTGTGTTCCCGAGTCACCACTGAGGGTTCAGAGGAAAGCTGGGGTGGAAGACAACTGGGGTCGTCTATGCTGGAAGCTTCTGAGCCCAGTCCAGTTCACCCCATAAAGCAAAGCGCTAGGGGATGGTCTGTAGGAATCGGTGACTGGTAGCCTTGTTGGGAGCAGTACTTTTGTCCTGGGGTGATCTAAGTCTGAACCTACAAGAATCCCATTTGAAAGACAGTCTATTCCTTTTATTTGGAGAGTGGGTTCTGAGACTCGCTTTCCGTCTAGGACTACATATAGTCTCTTAACAGGGAACCCTCCCCTATCTACTGGAAATCACGATATAAAAACATTCCCTCCACCAAGGCTGTAGGGAGCCTCCATTTCATCCATGATGTTTAACTATGGGCCAGACATGTTTACTTCTAGAGAAGTGGACAGGAGGTACTAGCCTCTCGCCTGGGAACCAACTGTGATTTCTTTTTCATCTTTTGCTCTAAGCAAGGACTGGTATCTGTTTCATGTTTCTTTAAATGGTAGGGAGAAATATCCAAACATATTCAAGAGAACACTTGGTATTTAATGTTCCTCTATAGGAAAAGGAGAAGGGAAAGGAATTTGGGGATGAGGAAGGAGAACAGGAGGGAGGGGAGAAAGAAACACTACTTACGCCGCCTGCAGCCGCACTTTTTAATTCTTTTGGGATCTGTGACGTCATCATGACAGGCCTTGCAGTAAAAGAATGCCCTGGAGAAAGAGAATGGAAAAACTGACACATCTCATAATCCACCCAAGTAAAATGAGTACCACGTGTCCCCCGAGGTGGTGTCAAATTAATGAAACATGCCAGGCCTAATTTCCTTTTATCTTTTGAGAAGTTTAGACATTTGCAGATGGAAATGTTTGTTGTAAGACCATTCACTTCAAGCCCAGCATTCTGTGATTCAAGTTGGTGCTCCTTTTTGTAAACTTTTATTTGCAAGAGAACGTGGAGAAAGGTCTTGCTGGTGTGGCACACTAAGCCTGTGACTGTCATTTCTGAGAACAACACTGAGTATTGGTCATTGGAACACATGGGTAATAGCCCCAAGTCTTTGGAGTATACATTAAAAACAATTCTAAATCCCCACAGCTTACTTGAATACATATTAAAGGGACACAAGAATGATGGGCCTCGGTCCAACCTAAATATCGCCTTTGCCACTTCACAAGCACCTTTCCTCATTGGTCAAAGGCAGAGAGGACTGAGAGTTACTGGAGGAGGGGGCCAAGAAAGATTCCAGTGGTTCCCCTCAGATTCTCTCCCGGAAGTCAAAGCCCATTTCACCCCAAAGCTGGCCAGATCCATTCCCATTATGCCTGCTCCTAGCACAGATAATGAATAAAAGTCTCTCTCTCTGGGGTAAAACTCAGCTGACCACTGGGATGGGATGAGGAGGGGATTGGTGGGCAGAATGAGCCCCAAGGAGAAGCCATCAATAATAATAACAAAGTCCCCTAATCTGACTTAAGTGCCATTCTGGGACTCCAAAGTGAACTGGCTGTGCCAAAGTTAGTTTCAATAAGAAGAACTAAGATGATTTGGAAACTGCTTAACATCAGTATCCAGAGGAATAACATGGGGACCTGGGTGGGTAGGATGAGCCTTCCGACTTGAGTTGGTGCAGAGGCATGGCCGTTCAGCCACCGAGGATTTTCAGCACAGACGTCACTAAGTGGCAGGAGATAGTTAACTTTGGCAAATCTATTAAATAGGCTTTGTTAAATGGCTCTGCCCAACTGTGAGTTAATGTTCAATGCTTGAACACATTAGGCATCAAGGTATGATGTTCAGGAGGTTACATGCAATTTTAGCTGAAGTTCTTTTCAAATTATGATGGTTTATAGGGATGTCACTCCATCATAAGTAGAGAAGCATCTGTACTGGGGAGGTCATGAAGTTTACTGGAACAACCTCCCAACCCTCTGGATTCAGGAACTAACAAAACCCTGGGCTTCATGCCTTTACCACTCCCAACATGAAATTGGGTGCCAGGAATAAACAGAGCCATTTGTCAACGGAGGCCAAAGAAATAAACACAATTCCTAGGTTCTTTTATGTTTTCCACAGTGTGTACATTTCAACATCAAGTCCAATGCTCTTTCAACTCAATGGGTTCCTTCACCGTTTCTTTAAATGTCAGATGTCATCTTCTTTGCAAAAACAGAAAAAGCAGCTGTTTGCTTTGCAAGGCACTGTGGGTAGGAAATTAATGGATGGTGGCCTGCTTTGAAACAAGAGGGACAAGAAGAGGCATCCATTTACTTGGGGAAAGTAAGTTCCCAACCACTGCCTCTGGCCATTTTAGGACTCCTTAGACGCTCTCGCAGATAACAGCAATGCAGTAGCAATAACAGCTAACAAACCACAGGCTGGTGCTGCTCTAAGCGTTTAAAAGTATTAATATATTTGATCTTCAAACAACCCTTTTTAAAGGAAGCTTGGTTACAGATAAGGAAACTGAGGTAAGGGGAGATTAAGTGGCCTACTCAATGTAACACCGCAAAGTGGCAGAGTCTGGATTCAAGTCAGGAGTCGAAAGTCTTAAATATGTTTCTCTAAAGAGATGGAGAGATCAGCCAAATGGACAAAAGTCAAGTTCTTTATATTAAACATCTTTAAAGATTTATTTATTTATTTTATGTATATGAGTGCTCTATCTGCATGTATGCCTACACAGCAAAAGAGGTTATCTGCTCCTACTAGAGATGGTTGTGAGTCACTCACCATGTGGTTGCTGGGAATTGAACTCAGGACCTTTGGAAGAGCAGCCAGTGCTCTTATCTGCTGAGTCATCTCCCTAGCCTGTAAACATTTTGTTTTTAACTGAGAAAAGCTATGTATTTGTGATCTATGTTGTAAAATGGCAAAACCAAGCAAGCCAACACACAGCCTTTCATCTGCTTGTTGCTTTGTATGTGGAGTGAGGACATTTAATATCTACCCTAGAAGAAAAATTATTAAAAGAAATGTTCATGAATTCAATACACTGTTTTAAAAAAACATCAAGCTGTGGGTCAGGGAGAAGGCTCAGCAGGTAGTAGCACCTGCTAGCTGACAACTTGAGCTGATCCCTGGGTCCCCTGCCATAGAAGGAGAAAAGCTGTTCTCTCACTTTCCTTCAAGGTGAATAATTTCTCACATCTATTCATCACAAGTAAATAAGCAGATGCAAAAATAACCTATTTTAAACCAACTATGGTCATGACACTTTGCAAGGATCACTTGCATTTATTCTCTCATTTAAATTAATATTTTATGTCCCTTGATCCTTGTTCCCCAAATGTCCCAGCCCCAGCTTCTAGTAACCATGATTCTACCCTGTGCTTACATGGCCTTGACTTTTTAAGGTTTCACATATAAGTGAGATTGTGCAATGTTTGTCCTTCTGTGCTTGGCTTCTTTCACTTAGCGAAGCAGGTGCTACAGTGAGACAGATGCTGTTAATGAGGGAGATGAAGGGCTAAAGGTGTCCACGCTCACATGAAGACATCTGTTGCAGATGAAGGAGGCAGATTCTTTAAACTACAAGTTAATTTTTGCTAAGTGGCAGTTCTTTGGAAGCTACACCACCCAGATAAGCCCCCATCACATTCTCTTGGCAATGTCTTTTGTTACAACTATGCACTTCACCCTGTAATCTCAGTGACCCTGGGAACAAAACCTGGATCTTAGTTTAAAACCTTGACTATGGCTTCCAAGAGCCTTTCCCTACTCCTGGTGTCTTCTCTATTTTCCTGATGCTTGCTTTCTCACTCCAAAGCAACTAACATCCCCTCCTTCCCCAGTTCACACACCAGCCAAAAGACCCCCCCACACACATCCTGCTAGGTTGGGTTTAGGGTCTCCATGTCCTCTGTTGCTCTGTGTGAATGGCTAAAGGCAAGAGTCCGAAAGCAACTGGAAGAGAGAAAGATTGAATATGCTCTCTGGAGGGGTGGGATAGTAACAAAAAACATTTCCCCACCGGAGGGCAAAGCTCCCACTACGCGGTCATCACTACTTCTCGAGCTTCCCCCTTCTTCCCCTGGTCCCTGCAGTTTCGGGCTGAAAGCAGCTATCACCTGCCTTAATGATGTCTCCATGGTATGTTTAGGACCAATCTTCCATTCACCATGGCCCAGGCAGAATTCCTCAGTTCCTACCACCCCCAGTTTCTTCTACTTATTCTCATCTTAGCAAGACATCATTGTCATCATCGCTCATTGCCCCAAACCTAGGTCTAAATCTTGATTCCTCCTCCTCCCTCACTTCTATGCAGTTCATGAGTATGCATGACAGGTTCCCCAGAGCGCTCCAAATGGGAGTCTCCTCCTGCACAAGCTGCCAGCATCTCCCTACACTATTTGATGGTCTCTGAATATCTTGCCTCTTCTCCTGCTCCATCACAGGCAAGGAGATTGATCTTTGAGAATATAGTTCTGATCACATGTATCAATATGCTTCATTCCATAACAAAGCCATTCTCTTTGCAAGTGCCCAAAAGAACCAGGTGCAGCCTGTCTTCTGAACTCTCCCCACTTCCATCCTGTTACTATCCCAGCCATGCTGTACCATGTTGTCTCAACACGACAAACCTCACACTGTTATCATCCTTCCCCATCCGATCTTTATATGAAAGACTCCTTCCCTTCATTTCTATCTCTGTCCATATGCCACCTCCTTGGAAGAGCAGCTTCCAGTGACACCCAGTTGAAATCCTTCCTTCTTCCATTTTAAAGTTTTTAAGAACCTAAAATTCTCTTTTCTATAAATTGTGAGCCTCAGGACAGCAAATAAGATCTCTGGAGCCTTCCAAACATTTATCAATGTGCAGATATTTGATGAGTGGATAAATAAATCAATTTGAGAATGCTTCCCAACTTGGGGGGGGGGTCCATGTTTTGAGAAGAAACCAGAAGTAGAGGATTTAATATAAAAGCAGATAACTTTTTTCACTTGGCAACTAATCTATTATTTTTAATTATGACTCAAATAAAGTATGTATTTGCTAAAGGAAGTGGGAATCACTGGACTGTGTTCCGGAGTTATTTAAAAAGGGGAATATTTAGGGACACGAAAAAAAAATATAACCAAGTACCTATCTCAGAGTAACCTCTTAACGGAAGCAGCTGGGCTCACCCCTCCTTGTCTAAAGCTGGTACCTCAAGTTTCCATAACCAAGACTCCACTAACTTCTCTCAATACATAGTGTTTTGCCATTTTTTTGAAGCCACAGCAGAGGGTAAAACCCAATAAGAGATCATCACAATCTACTTTTCCATTTTTTTACACAACTTGTTCAGGTTCACTCAAATTTCCAATGTCTTTTCTATAGCTTTCTGTACTCTTCATCTATTTGAAATGCCCTAACTGACAGCATTTTCTCTGACAGATCACACGCCATGGAAATTACAGGCTGGGGTTGTAGCTGATGGTGTCAGCATGTATTTGTGAATACCATAAAGCACGGGAACAAGACATATTACATTCCTTAATATAGGTGGTAATTTGTTTCCTGAGCTGCTCGGTGTTTGTGACACTCATTAGTGAGAGATGCAGTAGGAAATAGAATCACACAAATGGGAGCCCAGGTTGAATTTGCTGTCTGGGAGGTGTGCATGATGTATGGTCGCCTGTACTCCCAGCCTACCATGCTTAGAGCTGAGATTCTGCTTCAAAATTCCGTGTCTCACATCTGGACCAGGACATAACTATTCCAGAGTCCCCGGTGGTGGGGCTCCCACAGACAATTTCCTTTCTCACCTGAACGTCTGTCTAAGCATAGTTCTGAGAGCCTCCTGTCTCAGCATATTTTACCCATGAACTGGATAGAGATGGATTTCTCTTACAGATCTTAACAATGCCAATCATTCTCCAATTTCCAATTTGCAGAAGTAAACTTATTGGAGAGATCAGTAAGAAATAAAAATAAAAAGCAGAAACCAGCAAACAAAACAAAACAAAACAACAATAACAACAAAAACCCCTCAACCCTAAGGGTTCTTTTCCCTGGGAGCTTTTAAACTAGTAGTCTAAAAACTTGTTTAAAGTCCTACTCTCTAGATTTGAGTGGGTAGAAAGAAAATCATAAGCCTGACTTTGTCAAATATTAGCAGGGTTCTATATTTGCATATCGGGATTTTGCAAATACATCTTGTTACGTCTCACTAGCACAATGACTTTGCACAAACTGGTCAAAGAAGCCATGTTTTAGTTCCTTCCTAGACAAAGAAGGAACTATAAGACTGGGTGAGGTCTTGAACACAAAGAAACCCATTAGTACCCAGAGCAGTGGTAGTGCAGAGCAGCTTCTCAGAAGTAGGTGCTGGCCTTTTACAGACCTGAAGGCCAGAGTTCTGAGGACTTTAGAAGACTGGCTTCTATTCTGGGTTAATTTTTGAGGGTTAGCATAGAGAATAGGCACACATAGCATGGGCCTGGCTCTGAGTGGGTACTCATTAGAAGACAAGGGGCACCCACAAAGAATTGAAGACACTCATAGTGAGAATTGATTTAAAATATGTAACACAATTATTCAGTTGAGGAACCTTTCTGGATTTCTTATATCATATTTTCTGAAAACACAAGTTTTGGAGTTGGAATAAAATCAAATATAAGAAAAAGTCTAAATTGATATGCAAAGCCCTATGATTCCCTAAGTTACTTAAATAGGAATAAAGACACTAGTAAAAAATTTTCAGAAACATGGAGCCTGGTGCTAGCCTCATACTACACCTAAAGAGGTTTCCCAACTGAAGCTGACAATGCTAGCCAGGGCTTAGAAACTTGCAAACACAGATAGGGGCATTTTAATGTTTTGCCTAAAATTAATCCAAACTGTTTGAAGTTCTTCTTGGCATTTACATCAGAAAAATATGCAAAGCCATTTACCCATATAATATTAGGAAAATGACCTCAAACGGGCTAGAAGTCCTGTGCATCTCCTTCAAAACAGGAAGAATTAGAATGACTTGAAGTCACTTCTGCTTTCTGGGCCTCACTTTCTTTCCTTGTAAGATGAAGGGGCAGATAAAAATGCTTCCTGATCTAAATGTTTAGTATTCTGACTTAAGGACCGGGAACTGACTATGGGAAAAGACATCCTGGGAAGCAACTACACTCCTTCTGGAGGTAGAGTCTTGGACATGTGGAGCATACAGGTCTCAGTAGGTCTAAGTGTCTGGGGTTGGACCAGAAAGAAGACAGATAAAAATCAACTCTTACCTTTTAACTTCTTTGGCATCACTTGCGATGAAAAATCCTAAAGTACCTTCTTGGATCTTAAGGTGGTTCCCAGGGTTAATTAATATTCTGCTCAATGAACAGAAACAAACAAAGAAGACAAAAGTGTGAGCTGGTGTTCAGGATAAAATCTTGATGACGACACCATCATGTTGCTTTCATAGGGGCCCCACTCATCTTGTTCCTCTTAGATCTTTCCTTAGAGCCTGACATTCACTGGGTCAATCATGCCATCATTTAGCTCCAGGCAGCACACTCCAAGTCAGGGACATCAAAGATATGGGTCGTAGGGTCTGGGTTTGCTTAATGGAGCGTCTTAGCTGTTCCCAGAAGCACATGACCAAAAGCGTATTCTTCAGGATGTATCCCATTTAGAAACTGATTTTGATGGTCAGTTTTGAAACACACTCAGCCTAATGAAGTTTTATGCAACACCCACTTTCCCTTAGGTGATTGAGCATTAATGGGACCCCTATGTGTATACAGAAACATACAAATATACATACCACGTAGTTCCATGGGGAATGGTACAAGACACCTATATTAAATGTAATGCATAATGAAACTGCACATCTTTGAGGCTTTGATAAGAACATGTAAGTAGACTCTCTGAAGAACCTGATCTACACACCGATAAAGAAAGCTATTATCTGTCAAATATACCCAATGATTCCAGTCTGCTTTCTATAAAAATGGATGGGTTGTGTGAAAAAGACATAAAAATAGTATTCCATCATTGGGGCATACTGCAGCTTAAAGACAAATGAAAATTATCTCTAAAAACAGAAACAAAACAACTGCCTTGTCTTGTAGGGATATATAAATCTAAATATGCACAGCCCTATAAGTGCTAGAAATGAACTAGCTAGCCAAGTTATGTTTGGGGTGGCAGTAGAGATAAAGGAGCCTAATCTAATAAATTGGAGAAACAAGCAAGTCTCTGCTGATCAAAAGCAGGGTATGGGCTGTCCTATGCAGAAATAGTGATGAGGCATTGTGTATAACAGGTGTGGAATTTAGCGACTTGGGATGAAGCAAAAGACAACGGCACTATTATTTGATGTGAAAAGCTGGTGATTAAGGCAAGAGAGGTTTGGGCTCAGGTTTACTGAAGACCCCCAGTTGCCCAAGACAAATTGAGGAAGGGAGACATTAACATGTGATCTTTGTCTAGTGGTAAGATCCAGGAGACAGTGTTGTCAAAGCAGCTCTCTGTAGCAAAACAGGGAGAGCCCAGGAGAACTTCCGCACTGTTGGGAGAACTCTGATCAGATCACCACCCTGAGGTTACTCTGTTCGTAGTTGCGAACAGCACCTACCATTACCTACAAGACCTGACAGTGGGGAGCGGGGCTTGTGTCATTGCCATGGCTGCTATTAACACTTAATAATAAGAGAGAATGAAGAGGCGACTGCTCTGCCCCAGAACCACCAGCGACAATGAGGTTCCTTCCATATCAGAACTCATCAGTCCATCCTAATGGGCCTGAGGTCCGCACTAAGGACACACTGCAAAAGGCAGAGGTTTTACAAAGAGACCTTATTATGACCCCTCTGGCAATTCCCACACCCATATCACAAGCCTTTTGATTTACCACAGTCATGAGGTGAAAGTGTCAGAGATTAGACAAATTTTTGCGTTAAATGAATGTAAAAATTTGTGCTCATTAACGTGTATGTGAGACTATATAGTTTATATTGATTTCCTTTTCAAAATCACCTAAGTAAGGCATTTTAGGATCACAGGGTTCTAGATTTTGTACAATCTTTCCCTTGTTTTCCTAAAAGGCAGTTCCTATGTGACTGCCTCTGCAATCAGAAATTGGGTTCATATTCTAGCACTGCAGTGGTAATTTTGGGTAAGTTCCTAAACCTACCAAGAATTCAACTGCTTTTCCCTATGAGAGGTGCATTAAGACTAACAGTAGCCTTTTTGTCAAAAAAGATAATGTCTAAACAGCTTGATACCTTTGATTATGGTTACTGTTACCATGCCATTCTTGTAAAAATGTCCAAGTATTGCATTTTATCAGAGGTCTCCTGGCTCGATGCACTGGACCACTGTGCTTCTTATTAAAAATACCTTCTGTGATGAAGTTATAGAATTAAATACATGATAGAATAATGCATGGGTACGTCTATTAAAAAAGTTCCCACACACTTCTGGAGTCTTAAAAGTATATTCCCAAAAGTTTTGGAAGCCTCTATTTTGATAAGAATCCACATAGGAGTGGAAGGGCTCCCAAGCTGGCTGGATGGGTGGGGTTCTATCTTGACTTGAACAATAGGATACGGAAGGTAAAATGTGACACACATTGTCCTGGTCAGACATATCTGTCCAGAGACCTGTGCTGCCTTCCCTCATGCTTTGGGCCACATTGCCTGCCCCACAGAGATCCAGCCCACTGTGTCACTGTGAAATGTGGTCATCTCAGGGTTTCTATCCAGAGAGGTTTTCCATTTTCCTCTGGTCTTTATCTGCACTGAACAAGAATTGGCCTATAGTGAAATCAGGGATTGCAGTCTAGAAAATGCAGGTCAAGGTCATTTCCTGCAGTCTTCAAACATCTTTTAATCAAGTCAGTGCGGGTGGAGAACACCCTGGTGTTCAAGCCTCAGCTTCCCTAGCAATCAGTGTTAGTGAACCACTGGATCCTGACTTTGAAGGAAGCTAGGTCTCACCCTCCTAAACTATAAAACGCAGAGTATAACACCTGACTGACAATGTTTCTAAGAGGATAAAGGCTATAGTCTATGCACTAAGAAAACACTTTGTCCTTAATCTTTGCTTTCTATAAATATAAGCAAGGTGACTAAAAGCGTCAGAGTAAAGAAGCCCTCACACCTCTACTGGCTTACTCTCTATTTTCTATTCAATGCTAACTGAACCCTTGGGAAGGTGTGGTCTCTGGGCAACATCTAGAAACGGGTTACTACAGATTTACCGTGGGCTACACAATCACTCCCACACCTTGAGTTTTATGGTGATATGCAAGAGATACATTCCTGATTTTAGTATTTCAGATCGCATAACTGTTACCTGCATCCCAAATCTAGAACATTTAACTAAATACTAGTCTTCTTCCTCTTAGAAATGATATGAATTCTAGGCAGGAATAACTTTTTCCTCTCCCTACAAAATCCCTTCTAGACTTAAAATTTGCTATTGACTTACTAGGAATGTTAACTTTTTTGTTTTGTTTTGTTTCTTGGCAAATCTCTCTGATCTTTTTAGGAGACTATTCGATGTCAAGTCTGTTTTGTTCTTATGGCTGCCAAACATCCTCCTCCCCAAGCACCACTTTTAATCAATTTTCTGGCTCCAATTTTTTCTAAGTCACAAGTTTATCAGAGATAAAACTCAAGATGTGTCATGTAGAGAATCAAGGAAATCTCCAAGTGAAGTCTCCTATCGGGAGAGGTCTTTCTTCCTACACATCCATTAGCAGAATTCCAACAAGGACATCTAGGCAGAAGGAGATATTTCCTCATTTCAAGGAAAATATAAAGTATCCTCTTTTTTACCATGACCTTGCTGACTTCAATTGAAAACGCCTAGCGACAGCCGGCAGCACAGGGCTTGTGTGGTTCCATCCCCAAGAATTCTCACTCATTGCTTTCCTACTTCTGCAGCAAGGCTTATTTTTTGTCTGCTTACCCTTTTACAAGAGCAAAGTACACATTTTCTGTAAGAAATCACTGCCCATTAGAAGACAGAGAAACAGGATCGCCGTTTACTTCTGAGTTTTTCTTAGCAGAGCTTAGGGTCCTACGTGCTATAGGCACTTTCTAGATCCGTAGAATGAATGAAAAGCCCATATCATAGTCCTTGGCCTCAGTTCTCCAAGTTTCTCTTTTTCTCTCCAATAAATGAAAGTAGCAGTTACTGCAATTCTCATTAGTCAGCCTGATCAAATGCGTGACCACAAGTCTTCCTGTAGATTGGCCACCAAGCTAAATTCCCAGAGACATTAAGTATAAATATACAAATATGCAAATATGTAAACAGTCACTTAGGCAGCTGGATCAATTGGTTTCAATACTGAAAACAAAACTCACTGAGAACTGAAATCCATGTTTCTGATTGGAGAACACATCCACAAAGAATGGGCTCTATCCAATAGGGCATGTTTTTATCAGGGCCCTAGGGGAGATACTACATTAACTATCTTATGCTTGAACTTGGGGCAGATTGAAAAAAATCAGGACTAGGTGGGGAGAAATATTCTTTTTCTTCTAATACTTAAAGTGCAACAGCTGCAGAATTTTTTAGTCATCCTTCCTTCAGTCCTCCTAATCCTTACCTTTGTTTGGGGAAATGTCCAATGACTAGTAATTCAACTGAAACAGATACCTTAAAGAAGACTTTCATCCACTATGGACAAATAGAGTGTGTGCATGCACGTGTGTGTGTGTGTGTGTGTGTGTGTGTGTGTGTGTGTGTAGTTTTGGCCCTAATCACCCCCCCTCCCCGAGGCATCGTGTACCATTCCCCAAGCAATTGAGAAAATATCACCACTTCTGTGAAGGTATAGTTTATACTTGAAAACACTATAATCATAGTTGTGTCTAGCAAGCCAATGGGACTTCATTAAACAGAGTAAGCAAGTCAGAACCACTGAGGAATTCAGTTCATGCAATGTCCTGCTGACTCACACCACTGGGAAGAGATCTCTCTGATCAGTCAAGTTCATGTACAATTACTATCAGCAGGAACTTGATTTGAACCAATTTTTTGTCCCCTCTCAGGAAGTTCAACTGCACTGCAGTTTGTGTTGTGTTATGACATAGCTTAGAAAAAAACCCAAATCTCAAACCTCATCACTTCTCTGGAACTTTCCATTTCTTCTGGGCTTTACAATAAGTGCTGCTGGAGTCCCACACAACTAGACACATGCATTTACATTAGAATATGTGTAGAAGACACAGGTGTGTATTCCATGCTTCGATATGCATAGTCCTAGTTCACTTACATACAGAGACACCATAATCAAGGTTGCTCCCAGCTGGTCAGACTCAAATGACCATCACTGTGGTCCACAACAATATTGGCGATATATCATTTAGCCCAAGTTCACATCAATAATCTTAAAAGTAAAATTTCCATATATTTTTATAGTATAAAAAGACTAACTACATGGGAGAGGTTAGAGAGCTGATCTAAGAAAGATAACACTGGACATGTGGTTCTGGGAGCAAGCCATACTCTCTGGTACACATTAAGACAAGTCATGCCCATATCACAACATGCCTTCACCACAAAGTAAAAGGACCCCAGGCCAAAGGCCAACAGCAGAGGTGCAACCACTGTGGACCTCTGAAGATGCATAGTGTTGCAATAACTTCTCGCAGTTGGATCATATCAATAATACCAAACTGACAGGAAGTCACCTCTATTTATTCACATCTACTAAAAGAAATCACAGAATATCAGACATTGGAAAGAATCCCAGACAACACAAACACACAAGTATAAACACAAACACATGACAGTGACTACAGCCACGGAGAAGAACATGAGCAGGTCGGCTTTGTCTTTACTCTATAACAGTACTGTCTTAGAGCAGGCCTGGTAGAAAAAACTATGCTGAAAAATGTAACAACAACAAAACAATCACCCCAAACCCAAATAATTAAAAAAACGCCATTGATAATAATTTAGTCATGCTTCATGCAACACAAAACAGCGGCAAAACAGGATGAAGTGACATGGTGAGAGCTGAGATACTTCCTACTAAGAAATGTGCCAAATACACAAGGGGAAAAAGAAAACCATGAGTTTGTCCCAACAAACAGTGCTTATTGTAGAACACAAATGTACAGCTGGGCAGTTCGGTACTGGCATTTTAAGTCTCTACAGAGAACTGCTCAAGAAATTAGATAGTCAAAATAAAATCAACCCAAACAAGAATGAGGAAAGGAAGAGGTGCTAGGGCTTGGTCTCTGTTTTGTGGATAGAGGACAGAAACTGATCAACAAAGTGGAAACTCAACAGAGGGGTGAGAAGGTCACTGGGAATGTGGATGTGGAATGAAGACAAAATGGTGCCCGCATCTGATGGATACCAGGACAACATCAGGACAGTACAGAAACAGACACAGAGGGCTGGAGAGAAACGCTCTCCTTTTCAGGTTTAATATGATTTGTTTCCATCATTAGTGCTAAGATTGAAGACAATCTATGCCTTTCCATTTACCTTTTTATTTATTTATTTTAGTTTTCCTGCAAAGAAGTTAGTGCATCAACCAAAAGAATTAACAAATCAAACAAAGACAGCAGCAGGCTACTTTGATGTATTCTAGTGGGAGACGGGTGATACATATGTATAAAATGTGTATATATATATGTATGTATAGATATACTATATATATATATATACTAGACAAGGGAATGAGATTATATATACATATATATAATCTTTCTTCTTGAGTTCTTGGCAAATGGTTAGTCCTGTGGTTAGGAGTGAAGACAGAGGGTGGAGGTTGGAAGGAAAGTTAACGAAGAATGCATACCGCTTTCGGCTTCTGCAAAACGACAAGAAAAGAATTTCAAATCAAACAATTTGATAATAAACTGACTGACACCAGGAGGAAGGAAGGAATAAAACCTTTGTTTCAAATCATTTGAAGGATGTGCGTGAAAACAAGGTTTATCAGCAAAGCATGGAAACAGGATCATGGGCGGAGCCAACAACAGAGCACAACCTTAAACATGGGTCAGAGGTAGGAAGTGGGAAAGAGAGGCAGCTTCTCTGGATGGCCACACCTCGTCCATTACAAAATGTGAGAGGATGAGGATTAGGTCTCTCACAAGGATATCAAAACAAAAGTGTGCTTTGGACTTAGATGCTTGGTTGAATACATCTTGTGTTTGGTTGGGGTACGAGCCACGTTCCCTCCACAGCACTCCTGTGCTTCCACACTGAGACCAAGCCACACGGAGGATTAATGCTGGCAACTGCACACAAAAAGCCAATACAAAGCCAGACAAGTTCCTTTTTTGCCTTTTCTGGGGGCACTAGGAGGAAAAACAAAATCCACCACCTATATCCCTAGACATGACTTTGTTGGAAAGAGCTCAGATTTATGAATCAATGAGAGGCCCTGTCAAAGAGAAGGCTGTGTTTGCCTGGGACCTGAAATCTATTTCCTTAGAATAGTGCCTGGCCTCTAGTGACACCTCTCTTTCCTGGGACCAAAGGGTGATAAGTGGGAACTGAGTGGCTGATGCTCATGGCTCAGTGCAGCCGTGAGATCATTCCAGAAAATACTCAGCAATACCACTTACACAGTGATGCTTTTCCTCCTTCTCTCCTTCCTTCCTTCCTTCCTTCCTTCCTTCCTTCCTTCCTTCCTTCCTTCCTTCCTTTCCTTTCCTTTCCTTTCCTTTCCTTTCCTTTCCTTTCCTTTTTCCTTTCTTTCCTTTATGTATGTTTGGAGAGAGATGCACAAAAGCGATAGAGGTCCTCTGATACACAAAGGTGTACCGACTCAGCATCACAAAGATTGCCATTCACAACCTACCCCACCCCCAAAAAATCCAAAGACCCACAGTCCTTCCTCCACACACATGGATCTAGGTAAGGCTAGTCTAAAAGTGGGCTAATGATAACTCTAATAAATCCCACTTTAACTGTTGACAAATGCCCATGGCTCTCTTGGGCTCAAATAAGACTTTTAATAGTCTCTCCTTTGCCAACATGGAAAAAAAAATGTATCCTTGCATGCATAGTTTTGAAATTGCTACCACAGTGTTCTACAAAAGGACACCAAATCCACCATTTTCTCTTCCGGTGTCTGGTTGATTTGGATTTTTCAAAGTAACTCAGCATTTGATCAGATTGGCTGTGGACAATCTGACAAGACAGTTAAGGGGAGGGACAACAGAGGATCCACTTGCCTGTGATCCAGTGTTCCTTTTGTTTATGTCACAGACACATATTTGGAAATAGGCATGTGTGTGTGTGTGTGTGTGTGTGTGTACACGTGCGCGGTCATTTATCAAGATTGAGAAAACTCCTTGAATGAGGCTAGTAGAACTTTTTAAGTGGTGCCCTTCATTCTGTTCAGTTCTGAAGACGTGTGTTGGGGTGGGCTGCCCTTCTGGCCCTGTGAAAATGTAGGACCAAAGGCCGCCCTAGAGCAGGTATAGCATCTGGATACATCGTTTCAGAGAATAAAAGTCAGTCTATCTTTTAACCAGCTATCTTTCTCCCCAAACTATGAGTAAGAATTGAGGATCCGAGATTATCTGTGTTATCAAAAAGGCACCTAGGACGTCTCACCACCACTACAGATTCCTGCTCATACACTGCTGCCACCAAGCAGCAGAAGGGTCATGTATCGACTGGGGTGTTATCTATTTCAACCAGACCTTGTCCCTCACTGGTCTGATTTGCACATCATTAAGTAAAAAATAAATAAATAATGAGAGCTCCTGCCTCAGAGCTCTTCTCTTTTGACTAATTTACATGAAGCTGATAGTCTGCCACCTGGCTATGGCTGCAGTGGGAGAAACACATATGGTCCACAATAGGCTGCTTGCAAATTGGCTATTGAGAGAGCTGGCCCCTCCCATTACCACTCTACCACAGGCTGCTGGAAAGACGGCCTGAGGCCACCTGCTTTTTGCTTACAGCAGTAAAAAAAAAAACTTTAAGAGAAAGTCCATTCCTGCTTTCTTGTGTAAAGGGTAGGTGGAGTGTAGTGGGTGGAGCTACTCTCTCCTGTCTTCCAGAGAAATGTCTGGGTGCCCAGTGGAGCATGGGGTGACAGGCTGGTCTGAAATAGAAGCTTCAGTGTCTTGAAATGTTTTGCAGGATTCTGGAGGTGCTGTTCTGGTTTCCAAGCAAATAATTTATAAAGCCAGAAATAGGAAGTATGCGGACCCCTCCCAGGATGTACATTTCAAACATGGACGTCAACTTACCGGCTCTCCCGGTTGGCAGACTTGTACTCAATGGCTATCATCAGGAGTTTAAGCTTCACAAAGCACAGCCTGCAATGAGACAGAGAGGCCTCCCAGTCAATGACTGCGAATAGCAGAGTCTCACAACAAACACCTTATGGGACTTCTGGTCCCCTAATACAGTCATTATCCAGGGAACCCTCAGTCTACCCCCAGGTGCCAAAGGCAGGGTCAGTAAAATGACACCTCCACATCTTCCCCATTAAAGCTGATTTCCCACAAGTGATAAGGGACTGGATGTTCAAAGTGCAAATTGGGCTCTGGTCTGGATGTCTAGACACAGACCCCAAGCAGAGATTTGTGCCTGGGGATTTACAGCGGCCAGGTTCATTAGTTACTCAGCCGGGTAGTAAAATGTTAACTGCAGCGGGAGGAAGAGACTTGGAGCAGGGCGGCCTGTTATTTGGATTCCATTTTGGCCTTTTGTACAAATGGCTCATATTGTTGTTCAGAGCAGCCCCCCATGTGCTTGGAATGACGGTAATCATACTTAGCCTCCATCTAAGTGCCCAGCGCAGGACTACAGCTTTCTCACTCCTGCTTTCATCCAAGCTGCCTCACCTCCTCTGCGCAGGGCTCTGGGCTGCAGACCAGACTGCTCTCTGTTGCCTTGTTCCTGCCTCCCCACCTTCACTCTTGTTCCCCCTCTGCACCCCAGTATCTTCTCTTCTCTCCCAGACCACGTTCACAGGTCACAACCAGTCTAATTACCAGCTCCAAGCAATATTCTAGGTATTGCTCTCTTCACAGATTTTATTTTTCAAACTTCGCCAGCACCTTGCCTGTATACACGTCTTTGAGCTCCTAGCTAAGTTTATGCTGGCTGTGGCTGCTTCCCCCCACAGTGCACAGCAAATGGAGCCACTAACACAGAGGGCCTTGATAACGAGAGGAACCCGACTCACTGTGCCTCAGCTCCAAGAAAATAAAAAGAGGTGTCACAACATGCTTGTGCATAAAGAGATTCAGGTAGTGCTAGTCATATGGAGTAGAAAACTCAAAGGCAAAGGTTAAATGAAGAATGGTACTGTAGGGTGTAAGGCTGCCAAATCCAGAATGAATTGTGAGAGCTGTTTTAAGATGTTAGAGTCACAAAGAATAAGATATAAACCTGAAAATAGTGTAGTAAAATTTAGATTAAGATGGTCATCGACTATTTAAAGAGATAAGAGCTCACACACACACAAAAAAATGAACCACATATATTACGTACCACATTTCTACAACAAGCATTAAATCATATATTTTAGGAGATATTAAGTAATGAAACATCACTCAAGTGATAATGACAAATGAACCCTTGTTATTTAGTTTCAGGACTGTAATGGGGATGAGGCATGAGGTCCTAGGCTAAGGCCTTCCTTGGTGGCTCTACTTATTTCCACCACGGGAGACACATCCTTCTGTTTCTACCCGTTTGACTGGTGGTAAAGTTAAGACCCAGAACGCCCACACAACCCGTCCAGTGGTTAAGTATTAGGCCTCTAACTGACCTGGAGGGAGAGACATCTTCCCCTCCAGTGAAGTGTGCTTTCAGGGAAAGTTCAATTTTAAGCCAATACACAAGTGAATCAATAATAAATTTCTATATCTTGACAAATCCTATGTAGAAATAAAACCACTCGTGAGGATAAATAGTAGCTGGGTGTGGGGGGGGGATAGGTGTGCCAATTTGTAATAGTCCAAGAGGACCACCCTGAAGATGCAGAGAGGAACGAGAGGGCATGGAGAAGGGATCTCTAGGTGATAGAAACGGCAAGAACAAAAGTCCTGAGTCATAAAAAAGGTCTAAGTGTTTGAGAACCAGACACAGAGCCTGCAGGGCCGGCACTGAGAGAGCACGTCAAGACAAGCCATGGGTGGGTCAGAGAGCAAGGTGAGGTGAAAGGTCATGAGAACTCTGCTTGTCCCAACAAGGCGCACGCTGCTTATTCTAAGTGAATGAGAGACATGGAGTTGATGGAGTTGATGTGACTTTGTGTGTGGATACACGCATGTGAGGGGTGCAGGTGCACATTGTGGAAGCAAGGGGTCAACCCTGAGTATTGCTGCTCAGACACTGTTTTTTGAGACAGGACTCTTACAAGAGATCACCAATTCTGCCAGGCTGTCTGGGTAGTCTGCTTCAGAGATCTCCCTGCCTCGTACTCCCCAGCACTCAGACTACAAATGCATATGCCCACACCTGCCTTTCTCCATGGAGCCTGGGGGTTGGTCCTCACGCTTGCACAGGGTGCACTTTGCCAGCTCCTCAGCCCCTGTGGTTTCAAGTGATGAACTGACTTAATAAGATAGGTTAGACATAAAGATGTGTGGCTCGCAAGGAACGTGCTGGTGCACAGTGACAGCCTCCCATTCTCTTTAGGGAATAACACCAACTGCTTTTTCTTGCATGGGAGATCGGGCTTCTTGGTATTACCATCCATAGATAGTCAGATTTCAGAGGACCACTTCCATACAAAGGTATCTGGGCTCTCCCTACAATTGATCTGAAGGCTTTCTGTTTCCTGCCAGGAGTATAATGACCTGGACTTTGAGGTGGTTGTGTAGAACAATTCTGAAGTACCAACCCAAGTATCACCAACCCCAGCAAAGAAAATTGTCTTAGTTTATGTTCCATAGGATGAAATTAACTCCTTGTGTTGCTGTTCTTTCTAGAGTTTAAATCGGTTTTTTCGTTGTTGTTGTTGTTAAAATAATTATGTAACTTATGCATTAGTTGTTGAAGCAAATTACTGGATCACACGATTGAATGTAAATAGTAGCCAGAAAATATCTGATCTCAGTAGGGATCACTCAAAATTAATTTGTTGGTGTCCTGTGAAGAACTGCCATTTTTATTTAGGACTCTCATAGTTTGTGGGATCAAAGCTCTTAATTGTTTGTATAGATTTAACCCTACTGGCGGGAAAGGAAGAGTGGTTCCTAGTAAGTGGACATTTCATTGCCTCATTTTGACGAGGATCAAATGCAGTAGGGTGAATGTGCTCACTCTTAGTTGCTACAGTGCCATTTACCCTGCTGGGTTTAAGAATCAAGGACTTTCCTCATGCAAGAAGGTCAATCTGATCAAGGCGATCTTGTGCACTGAGTGACAGATGTTTATGATCTGTCATATGGGTGTGAGGATTGAACCCACGTCTTCTAGAAGACCTGCCATCTCTCCAGCACCTCATACCCTTCTTATATAGAAAACTAACTGAAGTCCAAGGAGGGAAAACCCACAAGCTCAAAGTCAAATGGCTTCAGCGTTAAAGAAATAAGTAGAGATGTAGTCTCCATGTAATATATATGGTGTTGCTGCTCCTCTACAAACAGAGAAAACCCACAGGAGCTTAACATGCAGCTGGCCCATACTGTCTGACCACACAGTATTCCTTAAAAAAATGGAAACAGGGCTGGAGAGATGGCTCAGAGGTTAAGAGCACTGCCTGCTCTTCCAGAGGTTCCTAGCAACCACATGATGGCTCACAACCATCTGTAGTGAGAGCTGGTGCCTTCTTCTGGCCTGCAAATGTACATGCAAGCAGAACACTATATATGCAATAAATAAATAAAACTTTAAAAAAAACTGGAAAAAGACACCAACATGCAATTTCATATTTTAAAGAAGATCTGGATTTTCAGCTTTCCTTGGTAAATCAAATGTGGTCACACTGGAGTCTCTTTCATATAGCTAAAAGGAACTCCTTTTAAAGGGGGTACACCTTCTCCAATGTCCCCCAGTGCCCACTTCTTGCTACTGCTCAGCTTCCGCCCTCCCATCTGTCTGCCTCCTTATACTCATCGACATTTTAAATATTGCTCAAACAGGTATCTTTACGATGTTTGCAGACCACACTGACAAACCATCAATTAATCCACAAAGACAAGTATGGCTTTCTTTGCATGTTCAATCCCACCTTTGCTAGATCCGGCTACAGAGAGCACTAGCATCCTTTGTCTAAGGACATGAGAGGTGTGGCGTGTGATCGGAGGATCTGGGAGTGGTAGAAATCAAGCTTGCATAAGCAAAAAGGGGCGCTAATAAGGGAATTTTATGCTCACCCCCTCCATGTGCTAAACTTCTCTAGTAGATAGGGCACATGTCTGCCTCCCTGGCATTCCGGGAGTGTGAAGAACAAGCTTTTGATGAAGGCTGCATGAAGCAAACTGGATGAAGAGACAGGAAATGCACAGGAGAGGCCAGAACAATGGAGAGGAAAACAAAATAGAGAGCTAACAGAGCGTGGGAAGTGAGTGCAGAATCCTGCAATAAGATGCTTTTTGTCTTACTTGTTAGATTAGGTGCCAATAGACTGGGAAAGATACAAATGGAAATAATAATAGATAATAATTATGATAAGCTCTGGGAACCTAACATTTGCCTTCCAACCATTAGGCCAAGATGCGAATCTAATTTGAAGATACAGAGAGTCATTTATTCTTGGGTTCTTCTAGATCCTGTGTTACAGGAGGGCACATGCCTAAGAATGTGTTTGCATACGATCCAAAACTGATGTCCTTTGGTTGAATACTAACTCAAATTATTTTCGTTTGGTAAAGCAGGATGGACATTGCATTCAAATATCTTTTGCATTTAAAAAAAAAAGTCAGATGCAGTCTCCATTTAATGTCTGGTGCTGCTTCTCATATAAGCAGAGAAAGCCCAGTGAAGTCAAATACAAAGTTGACCCATACTGTTTGAATAACATAGTATTCCTTCAAAGGATCTGGCTTCTCAGTATTCCTTTGCAAATCAAATATAGTCATCCTTTATTTAGTTAAAAGGGACTCCTCCAAGGGTTTCCCCTTCTCCACTGTGCCACAGTGCCCTTTCCTTCCTGGCTCAGCCTTATCTAGGCATGATCTTCATTCCTCCGGCTTTGCTCAGCATGTTGGATTACTATGTATACAGAACAGGTATAGAATCACGAAGCACAATCAGGGTTAGTGAAAGAACAAGAGAGAAAAACGCCAGAAAGCCTTCACATAGAAAATAAGACATACCCAGCCACAATTTAGTGAGAGTCTAATTCTTGGTTTCTAAA